TCATGTAGATTTTAACTAGGACTCTCAGCACTTTATTCTGGAACTGTTTATTCTGCATTAAAGACATGCAGAGCTTGAGGCTATAAGCTAGCATTCCCGCGACATCATTCGATTCTAGTGTGGTCTTCTCAAAGACATCTAGTCTTCTCGTCTCCACGGCGATGCCGATAGCCTGCTTATACTTGCGATCATCTAGACATCGTGGGAACATTTTGTTCACAATGCCTTCCAATCTCTGGTCAATTGGTTTTTTTCTCCTTCAGGCAAATCTGCATTTTCTACACACTGCTTGGTATAGTGATCAATGCATTTTGCTATAATAGTCTCCACATACTCAGAATTGTCATTGACATTGAAGAGGTCACCTGCTCCAAGAGCATAATTCAGAGACTCCTCAAAAGCTCCCAGGTGGTAAAATACTTTAGATGCCACTAAGGCTGCAAACTGCCGACTCCGGAAACCTTCATCTTCATACAAAACTTCTATTTTGTCTACAGACTCAGAAATTTCTGCCCAGAAGTCATTGACAACTGTATTCAATTTGTGTAGTGCGAATTCCTTAAGCTGTGGTTCTTCTTCATCCAGAAGAGAAACAACTCCAGCAGCTGAGGCGATCATGACGGCGCCCCGCGCTCACCAGTCCGCTCGCTCGCCCACCGGCCGCGCCGCTTCTCTGTCAGCCCAGGCGCGCTAGCTGCGCTGCGCCGACGCGTTTAGTAAAATATATTTTAGATGTCACGGCTCTGTTCAGGGAACAGAAAGAGTTATGTTTCCATTCTGTACGCTGTCTCTTCGCTTTGTTTCCTGTGTTGTACAGAAGATTTTTCCTTTTCTAGGAGCCCATTTGTTGATTCCCAGTGTGACTTCTATGCCACTGGGGTTCTGTTCAGAAAGTTCTAGCTTATGTCAATGCCTTCAAGAATTTTATCTTCCATCAAATTGTGTTAGTTTTAGCATTTAGATCCGTGATCCATTTTGCATTCAGTTTAGTACGCGGTGAGATATATGAGTCTAGACTCCAGCTTCTGCATGTAGATATCCAATTTTCCCAGCAGCATTTAGTAATGAGGCTGCGTTTCCTCCAGTGCCTAGTTTTGGCCCCTTTGTCAAAGATCGAATAGCTCAACATTCCTGGATTGCTTCTCCTTTCTCTCTCCTGCCCCTTTGATCTCCATATCTGTTTTTGTGGCAGTTCTGTGTTTTGTTTTGTTTTCCTAATTGCTGTAGCTTTGCAGTTTAACTCCAAACCTAGAACTGCAATGCCCGCTTCTTTGCTTCTGTTACCAAGAATCACATTTACCTTGTCTTTGACCAGGTTGAGTGTTGGTACTCAGCTCTTCTGAGGGGAACTAAGGTGCAAAGCCAGCTGGGAGCAGCTGGTCCTTGGGTGGGGTGCACGGCAGCAGCTGGAGCCTAGATTTTGTAATCCTATGATATTTGGTTTTTTTGTGAATGGATGTTTTCATTTAATACAATATTTCAAGATTTGTCCATGGTTAGCATGGACCATGACTTTGTTTCTTTTTACTGTTGGATAATAGTTTACCATGTGGTCATATTGTATTTTGTTCACATATTCATCTGTTCATTGACAATTACATTGTTTCCTTTTTGTTTGTTTGTTTTTGTTTTGGTGATACCAGGCATTGAACTCTGGATCTTGTGCTTGCCATGCAAGCACTCATGCACCTGAGCCATCTCTCCAGCCCCTACTTCAACTTTTTGCCTATTATACATCATGGTGATTGCATAGTACTTGGGCACAGTTTTTGAATGGAGACAGAATTTCTTTCTTTCTTTTTTAATGTGTATACCTAGGAGTTAAACTGGCTGCGTGGCCTGAAAGGTAGCTCTCTGTTTAGTTTTTCCAGGAACCGCCAGACAGCTTGGGAAGTGTGTGCACCATTTCAGGGCAGAAGTGGCTGGGGTTAGCCCAGAGGAAGGCTCCAAGTCTCAGTAAGGAACAAGCGGCAGTTCAGGGGAAAGCCAAGCACCAGTGCTGCTGGAAATTACTGAAGCTACGAGCCACTAGACAGGAGGCAGGGAGGAGGCAGCTCCAGGTAGCCTCATCTTTGGGCAAGGCAGAGCTTCTGGGGCAGTCTCAGAGCCTCCCGCGGCATGCCTTTGTCAGCCCTCCAGGCACGGCTGCCAGCAGAGGCCTTCCAGGTACTGGGAAGGTGTGCAGCTTAATGTATCCTGTGCGTGACCCAGTATGGGGCCCTGCAGTGTCTGGCAGGCAAATTTCAAAAGTTAGGAATCTTTTACCAGCAAGGAAAATCATAAATGGGAAAGAATAAAAATTCATAATGAACTGTTTTGATGGATAGACCTGTTTGTTCATTACAATAATTATGTGTCTCATTTTGACTGTACATAATTATAAGCAAAATTTACAACAAAATTATAAATGCTTTTAGTGAATTTTCCAAAAGGTCATGTCCAACATAGTAGGTTGATGGTGCATATGCTTCATAATATTTTATAGCCTTCTTATGCAGGATAGTTCAACTTAAATGCTATTTTGAAAATTATTTCTTCTTCAGCGGATAATTGGTTTAGCTTATGTGGTAGTTGTTTTGAATAAGAAATCACCTCATCTGCTTCCCTACAGTATAAATGAAATCTATCTGTATCTGTGAGAGGAATGTTTCTAAGGCTTAAGATTCTTCCATTTTCTTGACAAATTATCTCTGGAGACTGTCAGGTAATTGAGAAATCACAGTGACAGCAGGAGAAGAAAACTGCGACTGTCCTTGTTTGACTTACTTTGCAAGTTCAGAAATGAAACGCTACAGCTCTGACACCTTTCCATTGCAATAGGAAACAAACAGGTAGCAAAAATTGCCCACGCTCCCAAATTGGGCTGAGAAGTTATTGGTTGTGTTTTCAGAGGATGCGAAAATATTCAGATTTCAGAGTGTTTAGATACCTATGTGGTGCTTTGTATGTCCGACTTCATAAAAAATCAAAGTTCATTTGATTGAAATGAATTTGCCGCAAGACTCCATCTATCTTTGGTGACTCAAATGTATGTAAAATGAGAAGGAAAAACTCCTGTTTCTCACCCTGAGTCGTGCTGATATGTGGGGTGAATGGAAGTGGAAGTAGGAGAGACAGCCTCATCCGGCCAGATGTGCCTAACAGATTTGATTTCCATAGCTGCTATGGATGTGGACGTGATGCTTTGTGTGTCCGACTTCCAGATGTTGGACAATAGTAGGATCCCAGTTGAAGGCGCAAACATCCCAGAATGTTTGCTAAGAATGACTTCCACTTGCACTTTCTCTTCCAACCATCACGCTCAGACCTATCCTGCCAGGATCCTTGCCTGTGACTCAAGGCATCCATCATCTGCTCCCTTCAGCGGTAGCCTTGGACGGTTCTGGAGGTTCATCTATTCACCTTTCCCCATTTTTGTGCTATACAGAAAACAAAATGGAACTTGACGTGGACTAAGCCACCCATGACATTGTAATTGGAGATTGTCAGAAAGTGGGGCATTTGCCAGTGACAGACCAAGATCAAGCGGCTGGTGGGTGACAGCTTCTCTTTTCAGTTCACCTGCAGAGCAGTGCCTTATCCCTTGCTCAGTGGTGGCTGAGGTCTCTGTTAGAACCGCACCTTCCCCCCTTCCCTCTCCTGCTTTCCTCATGCCTGAGAGGTGCGGACCACAAGGTACACCCTCACCAAGTTCCTGCGTATAAGTCTTAGAATCTGTTTCCAGGAAACCCAGCCTGAGGCAGAGACCAGATGGCAGATGTGCAGACCTTTCTTGCCCAACCACCAAGGGTGCTTCTCTGGCACGCCACCAGTGATGTTGATCTTGTTTTTCCTTAAACGTGATAAATCTCAGAGGAGAAGGAATTGAGGAAGTAGTACTGAAGGTAAACTGGCTCTTACAATGGCCTTTCCAAAGTAAGTGGCTTACTTTATTCAGCTTTACTGTGCTGTTAGGCGACATAAGTTTTCCATCAGGAGTGGGCTGCATGCACCCTGTGGTCCCATGGGAGTAAATTGCCTATTTCAGTATGAAGTTTGCAGAATGAAAAGCATCCTTAAAGATCCACTTCTTGGATTATATCCTTGTTGCTAAACAACACATGACTGAACATCCTGCATGACTTAAAAGAAATCATAAGTAATGGCAAAAATGACCTATGAAGGAATTACTGTGCATTGTATTAAGATTATACCTTCTTGTGTTAACCTTACCCATGCTTTGTTAGAGTACTTTTTATGTCTTTTCTTTATGTATTTAGTACAGGGTCTACAGGGTCTTGCTACACAGACAGGACTTGTAGTGATTCTCCTGTTTTCAGCCTCCCAAGCGCTGGGATTACAGGCGTGTACCACCGTGCCAGACTCAATCACCATTTCAGCGCACCCTGGGGGCAGGGCCAGCATGGCCTGCCAGGGACCGAACCCTGGTCCCAGTGTCTGCCTAAGGAGTACTTTTTATTTCTGAATTATTGTTCATGTACAGAATTCTGGGAAAATGCCTCTGAAATAGTAACACAAAAAATGAATTCTTCCACAAATATTTAATACACATTTGGAGAATGATCAAGTGATTCTGTTAGGGGAAGTTCTCAGGAAAAATATTTCTGTAAATATTGAAATTTTTATAAGTATTGAAATAGGAGACAACCCAGGCTGCGGGATCCTGAATAGACCCAGAG